CCAATATGTTCTGTAGAACAGTGACTTGTTTCGAGTAAAACTCTGCTTCTTTGGTTCTCTTCTTTAGGAGATCAATTGCAGCTATGAAACTTTCTGTCCGGACTCCTATCTGTTTCTCGACCAAGGCAAGCAGCTCAAACTTCTCGAGGAACCATGGAGATACTGCAATAGCAGCTCAAACTTCTCGAGGAACCATGGAGATACTGCAATCTTCTCGCGCTTCCTCAATCAAACATTTTCATCCTTCAACTTTTTCATCTCGTCGTTGATATTCGCCTCTAGAATTAGGGAATCTTGGAAGTGAAGATCGTATTGATGGAGTCGACGTCTCCACTCCTCCTCTTTTTGTTGAAAACGCTGCACCAAGCGAGAGTGTATCTGCACATTATAAGCTTGAACAACATCCACAATCTCTTTCTCGAAGGCTCTCACTATAGCGGTGTTGTGAACGATCCCAAATTTTCTCAGTGCTGATGAAATCATGGCATACATAGGAAAATGTTTGATCTCATCCTCCTCAAGAATCATCAAATGCACATTATGGACATAATACGGCTCCTGACATAATCAGCAAGAATACATCAAAAACAAAGAGAGGAAAAGAGAAGAAGAAAGCGTTATGTAAATTCCGAATTGGTAGAATTCATTTAGCAATTACTATAGAAAGCTAAGGTCTACAACCCAAGTAGCAAAAATCCTGTTACAAGATAGGAACTCATACGGCATTTGGGTTGGGCGGGATATTTGGTTGGCTCTCACTGGTTCTCTCGACAGGAGTTTAAGTCGAGGAAATCTCTTTCTCGCCTGCCGGTTCCTTCTCAACTTCAGGCCCCCGCTCCTCTTCCTTATCCTCCTCGACGTTCTCGGAGGAATCTTCATCAGAAACTAGCTCGACACCAATGAAATCTCGGTTAAGCTCGGGTACCCCGCATCTCTTCCCCAGGCTCAGCAAGTAACACCGTTGGGGCATCTCCTTCAAAGGAGGTGATTTCTGAGGGTGAACCCATTTGGGGGATAGCGCTACACAAAGGCCCGAACAAAGGACGTTGTTCAGTGCCAAGATGCATCAACCCATTCTTCATTGCTTCATGCAGGGTTTTGCAAGGATGCGGCTTCACGAATTGTTGTAGCCAGCCGGCATGGACAGGCTTTCCAGATTCCATCCTTTCGAGAGTGGCAACAGCCACACCATGGCGGCCTAGTGCAATAGCTGCTTCATTGATGCCCACCATGACATTGGCCATCCCTCCAGTGGGAATTATTCTGGCCCAAAATGTAGTCATCCATTTCCGCAACTCTATTTTGGGTATATGGGTTTTCCCATATTCCTTCAGCTTGGCCTCGAGTTCCTTATACATGGCCTTGGTAGTGGCCAGCTCTTCCTCCTTGGCAGCTCACATTAACTGCTCGTTCTTCTTTGCTTCCTCATGGATTGCCTTCTCATGCTCAAGAAGCCCCTTCTCGAGCTCCAAATTGGAGATTTCCTCCCTTAGCTTCTTTTTGCGCATAAGAATGCTCGCCAAGGAGGTTGTTAGCTGTCGAGATTGCAAGCAAAAGATCAGCATAAATTGAAATGCTAGTTACAAGCAGTGAATGCGGAAAACATCTATGTTGGTAATACTTACCATTTTTAAGACTTCTTCATCAGTCATCGTTTTGGCTACCTTTTCTATTATGGGGCATTCAATTCTATCATCCTCAAAGTGAAATATGGCGGCGGCTGCAGTGTATGATGATGACCCTGGAGAGGCGTCCGGATTCTTAGCAGCGCCTTTTTTCCGAGATAGCGGAGGCGGAACTGTTGTAAACCAACTTGGGTCTCGTTCTACTTCCGGATTCCCATCTTTCTCTGGAGGGACATTACCCTCGATGGGATTACCCTCCTCGACAGGCTTATCCTCCTCGACTGTCTTGGCTTCTTCGACAGGTTCAACTTCCTCGACAGCCCTTCTTTCTTGACTGGAGGAGCTTGCTTCTTCTTTTTTGACTTAGCGCCTGTTTCTGACGCTTTCACCAGTCTCCTCAACTTTCTCTTCTTGCTGACCTTGCTTGAAGATCATTCATCATCTGAATTTTTAATGTCAAAAATCTTGGAGTCACCAAACAAGCCAACAGTGTTCTTACTCGACGACATAGCCTAGAATAAAATGAATACACAAGAGGAGTTAGTACCTTTTTTATCCTTGACAGGAATGGGGGGAATGTACTGCTACACTTTTGTCCAATTGAGATAATTTTTGAAGGATTCCAGAGCAGTAATGTCATCTCTATATTGCTCGATCCTGGCCTTGTCAGATTTAGACCAGACATCATATATAACGCCCATCTCCTGGGATTCACGATGATCCCAGGTCACGCGAAAATCCTCTGAAGCCTTTACAAACAAATAATTTGATTTCCACACTGGAGAACCATCGAAGATTTCCATTATATGTTTCGCACCCAACTTGGGATTCCTCTTGACGTTATACCAGTCTTTTTATTTCGTCGAGGAGACACAGACTTTGAAAAAATACTTCCACACGAGTAATCGAGATTTAACCTTCTTTAACTCGCAGAGCCTCGCAAATCTGAGGACTGCCGATATTATGTTTGGTGTAAATCGAGTAAGGTGAATCTTGGAGTATTGAACTATATCTCTAAATAGAGGGTAAAGGGGAAATCTTAGTCCTAAAAACATAAACCTATCATATACAATTATTTAGGGTGACGCGAATCAAATGACTACCAGAAGCTAAGAAAATCATTATTCTAAATTAAAGTTTAGAGATCAGACCCTGATAATAGATAAGAAAGAAAAACTTACGCCATCCTCGTTCAGACAAATTTGGCAGCTCGTTTTAATGTTCTGTGCAGGTACGGGTAAAAGTGCAGGTGCAGTGTCGTAAGCATGCATCTTTCTCCCTTCCAATTCCATCAATTCATTCTACCCTTCAATCACAGCGAAACCAACAAAATTTTATTTTATTTGTACGGGCCACAACCTAATATACTTCTAAAGCTAATAGGATTACTACAAAGTAGTAAGGAAAAAGAGATACTGACGAAAACTAAAACGTACAGTGATGGGGACTAATTGAAAATAGACGAAATAGACAAACCCTAACGGTAGGGATTTCAGAGTCTTTGAAAGCTTCTAAAGCTTAAAATTATAACAATATCAGAAAACCAATCTATTTATAGGAACTCTGTGACTTGATTTAGCCAAATAATACAGAATGTTCTATTCTCTTTTCCTTCTCTATCGGTTTGTTAATGGTTATAGAGTGTATTTGAATAGAAAATTAATAACAGTTAAGCTTGGCTATTAATTTTTTGTTGTGATTTGGTGTGGAATTATGTTTAACGTCAAAAGTGAGTTTTGTAGAGTTTCTCCAAATAAAAAATTATCTTATTTTTTTAAGAAATTTATTAATTTAAAGAGTTTTGTTTTTCTCATGCTCTATTCAATCCCACCTTCTATTTTCCTTGGATAATACAGTCTCCCTCCCGGAAAATACTACAGAGTTTTGAGATTTGTACTAGTACAATTTTGAAAATTCATGTGGGAAGTATATGTAATTCTCCAAGAGTTTTTGTTTTGGTCAAAAGGTAAAAGATTTTATAAATTCACAAAAACACATGTACACGGTACATCATCTTTTCCTTGGTATCACATGAAAACTAACTGGAAAATTCTCAGCTCACCTAGCCATCTAAGAATCTGACCACTTCCTCTACTGCAATACGTTTGAGCCCTCCATCTGATTTCAGTAATGATGCTTTCACTTTGTCCTGTCCACTTTGTTTCTGCCGCTAAACTCCTACGATTTCTCTCAGCCTATACATGATAGATACTAGCATTTATCACAGCAAACATTAGCTTCTCCTGGATCTTGCAGTATTTCTTTTTTTCTGTCTCAACCTTGTTCACACTACTACTCAGATTCTCGACAGCTTCTTTTATCCCCAGCCATTTCAGAGATTCTGAAATAACTTCCCGAGAATGGGAACACTTGAAAAATAGGTGTTTCCAGTTCCTTCTGGTGCTCCACATAGTTCACACACTACTACATTCCCCCGGAAAATTCCCATTTTCAACCGTCTTTCTAGAGTCATCAATCGGTTTTTAAAGGCCAGCCAACTAATAAAACTATGTTTTGGCAGGCTGTAATTAATCCATACAATTAATGCATTCCTGCCTTTTGCTGCAATCCCTTTCATCCAATGATAACCACTCTCTCTTGTGTAATTCTTCTTAGGATTACCAATCCAAACACCATTCCGTACACCAGACTTCAACAGATTCCAAACAAACATAAGATTTTTCCAGTGTCAACTACAGTCATTAGGGTGCTGATTGTCCCATTAACTTCTCCCTTCAAGTAATATATGTGGATCCACTTGATCCATAAGCTCTCCTTGTTATTATGAACATTCCACAACTGTTTACCTATTAGGGCCCTCCAAACGCAGGGCTCTTTTACATGCAACCCTCCCTGTCTTGGTCTTACATACATCACTCCAAGCCACCAGGGACCAACTTCTCCCATAGATACACTCTATACACTCTTTCTATATATTTAATAACCTTATGAGGAATCAGAAAAATACCAGCCCAATAAGAGTGAAGGCTCTACAGGACAGAGTTGACTAGTACTAATGTACCAGTATACGATAAATGTCTCCTTCCCCTCCTGTGAATTGTAGCAGTGATTTTTTCGAGTAAAGTCTGACAATCTAATACAGACCAAGCTGTTGGAGATACGGGAACTCCTAAATATTCCCTCCGGTCCTTATGATAAGACATTTTGATTTCGTTCTAGGGTTAAACTAGGATGCCCTTTTAATTGCGGCCAAGCAAAATCATTGATTATCAATTTCACGGATGATCCATAATCCCATAATCCATGTATATCGGCTTCGCCCCAAAAAATTTTGTGGGATCATAAAAAATTGGAAAATATATACAGGGGAACAGAAGTTTTTCTCCTTCCCGCCAAACCTTTATCAGTTCCGCCATGAAGATCCACAAACGGAGACGGCAAATCGAAAACCACCAGAACAACAAGGACTCTGTATCATCAATGGAATCGGAACCTTCCAAAACCACCATCGACGATCTCCCGGAGAGCATCCTCGTCCACATCCTTTCCTTCCTCCCAACCACCGCCGCCGTCGCCACCAATTGGCGCAACCTCTGGCCTTCCGTTCCGAAACTCAATTTCGACATCGAAGAGTTCCATTCTCAAATCCCGGAGAAGTTCAACCGAGACGCTCGCCAACTGTTTGCTGAATTTATCAGCCAAACCCTCCTCCACCGCCTCCGCAATTTCCCGATTGAGAAATTCAAATTATGCTATAACTACAAGGATTAGGAGTCAATCAGGTCCTATGTTGATTCCTGGATTCGGTACGTCGTCAATTGTAAGGGAAAAGAGATCGAACTCGAGTTTAATACCTTTGGTTATAGTCCCAATTTTAGGGAGGGACGAGATGGGGAGGAAGAAGATGAAGATGAACTTGAAGATCTTGATATTGGACATTATGATTTTCATTTCTTTGATCTGATTAATAGCTCTGTTAAGGTTTTAAGACTGAACGGTTGTAATCTCTGTTTCCCTGGAAATCGGTTGTCTTCTATGAAGGTTAATTCTCTCAGGGAAATATATTTAGAGGACTTTTATTCGTCAGATGAAGAGATTGAGAATATGATGGCATTATGTGTTAATGTTGAGATCTTATCCATTGTGAATGTTTGGGGTTTTCGCGATTTGAAGATCGCGTCTCCAAAACTCAAGCATCTGAAGTTGTTTGGCTCTAATGAGTTCAAAACTGAAAGAAATTCAGTCGAGATATGCGCTCCAAGTCTGGAATCTTTAATCCTCCATCTTACTTACGCCGGGAAGTATACGCTGAAAGATACGCCATCTTTGGTTGAGGCTCATCTGCAGTTCTCTGACAGATCTTGGTGGGAGTTGGCGTGCTGGACTAATGCAGTAAGCTGTTTGAGTGGTGTCACCCGTTTAACCGTTGAAAACATGTGGATGTGGCTTCTGGTATGTTATCCTTATATATGATCTTATCCTTGTACCACAATTGGTAACATCAAGTGTATTTGAATTCAGATTGTTAGTTTTAATTTAGTTAGGCCTTGTCTAACCAGAATGATGAATGAGATTATAGAAAGAATTAATGCTATAATGTTTTCTTCTCTTGAGAACTAGTTTTTTTTTGTTGAAGATGCATGTAATATGTACAATGTATGTTTACATATTAGTCATTGCCTTTGGCTTGGTACTAAACCGTGCAGGCAATTTCCCAACTGAACAGAGGTTGTGAAGTTTATAGAATAGGATGCTTGGTTGAGTTTTTTTAGCAAGGTTAAGCGTACATTTTGATGGAACTTTTCTTCTTTATCTGTCGAAACTATCTGATCTTCATTTCATTTGTAGAATGATATAGATGATATAAAGGAGCCACAAGGTTGGTGTCTTACCCGGCCATTAATGGATGTAAGATACCACGGAAAGGTAATAAACTGTACTGTTGGTAATTTGAACGTGTTCGTATTGACTGGATGGGTGTTAAGTCTGAGGAAGAGCAAGTAAACTCTTCAGAAAAAGTAATCTCATTCCCGTAATCTTCACATTCATGTTTACTTCTATTTGTGTTGCTATGGTGGCAATCTGTTTCCTCCTTCATTCGAAATGAGTAATATTTTCCTCCATTGTCTGTATCGTGTACAACGATGATTGGTGGATGAATGAAGATGAATTATGAGAATCAAGTGAACTTTGTTCTGAAGAGCATTTGGTGTCTTGGATTTCGATAGCTTCTCAGAATTGGTCCAAACCTTTTATCATTTTTGTTATGCTAGTTGGAACTGGGGGATTTTGGAATTTGGTAAGAAAAACAGATGGTTCCATTATCGGGTTTCTATTGAAGTAAAAGAACTTGGAGTTGTGAACAATCTGATATGTGAAGCTAGGATTCTGATGGAAAGTCACTATGGTTCTACGAAGGCAGTATTTCGCTTTCTTTTTGTTTGATTGTAAAATGTGTATTTTGCCAAAAGAAGCTTGTGTGTGAGTTTACATGAACGTTTAGTTACAAATGATAAATGATGTAATAAGGTTTTCATTGGGATTTAGATGTTACATAGACATTATGTTTTGTTACCTTTTTGATAATTTGATCAGAAAAAGAAAAGTTTCTTCTTCCATGCTTTACTTCTCCCATTTCCCTACTTCAATAGACAATATCGATGCTTCTGACATTTGATTATTTCCTATCTGTAGCTTAAGCTTGCAGAGGAGGTTTTCTCCAAAACTTTTGCATTTAACAGTCTCAAACATTTAGAGCTATTGACCGGATACTCAAAGGATGAAGTTCTTGGCCTGGAAACTGCACTTAAGAGCTGTCCACAGCTCGAAAGTCTCGCCCTTGTGTACCGGTTTGAGTCAAATCAAGACGTGAGTGTAAAATTAAGCGTTTATTTTGCAGTTATGCTCCTCTTTAACATTCTCCAGTCTCTTCCACACAATTGATTCCATGCAGAACACATGATTATTTTGATCAATTTTCAGGGAGGATTGCGAACAAGTAAAAGGATCCGGTCGATCTTTTTCCAAATACCTAGACTTAGGCTAGTCGAGATGAAGAGGTTCAAGGGAACAAAAAATGAGAAGTACGTAGCAAAGCTCTTGAAAAAGCATGGAGTGGTCTTGGAAGAGATTGTTGCATTTCCTGCTAAAGTGGATCGAACCTCGCCGCCTCCTATTGTTCTTTGATTAGCAAACGGAACAAAGACAATCAAAGTAATCCTACACCTGAAACTTGGTTTAGAATTTTGAGTTTCTTTTGGTTCTCTTCTTCAAAGCTAGCATTGCCTTTCTTTTGAATTTTAAGTGTTGGCTGGATTTCTGCAATATGCACCTGCGTGAAATTCAGAAGGCTAGTAAATGTTACTTTTCCTGATTCTGTGTCGTTGGCTTTTGATTTTATTTTCGTTGATAATTCCTTATATACATCTCTTGAAATTGGAATTGAATTGTCTGAATTCCAGTTAGAAGTATTTTTTTTGAAAAGCCAGTTAGAAGTATTGGTTAACTTATTATGCACATTATTCATGTGATAACCATATGGCATAACTCCATCTGTCAATTAAAAAAAATAGTTCTATTTTGTTGAACTTGTTACAGCGAATTGGACTATCTTTGGGGACGGAGAAATATTAAACACATTGATTCAGCAAAAAGACCACAAGTGAGAATAGATACCATGAAGCTCCTAAAGGAAAGCTGCACTACCTTGTCAAAACTCAAAACTCACGGCAAGAACAGGATTAAGTTTAATAACAAAAGTCATCCCCCAACAAGTCGATTAAGAGATTCTTGCATAGGGTTCCTTGGTTTAAAAAATACCTAGAAAAAGGAGTAGTTAGATATATATATATATATATATATATATATATATATATATATGTGTGAAGCAAAATACGGAGATCGGATTTACAAAATCCGATTTAATACAATAATAATTTTTTTTCCGAAAATACATGTGAAAAATATGAAATGAAAGTCAACTAATGAACAGTAAAAGGTCGGATTTTAAGAATCCGACCTTCTTTATTTTTAAAAAATAAATATAGGCGGAAGATTTGAAAATTAAGAACAGTAAAGGGTCGGATTTTCATAATCCGACCTACCTTTTTTATGCTTAAAAAATAAATATAGGCGGGAGATTTGAAAATTAAGAACAGTACAAGGTCGGATTTACTTATTAAAGCATACCTAACAGTAAATATCGGCATTGAATGGACGTTATTAGTAGGCAGAAGGTTGGATTCTTGAAATCCGACCTTACATTAAATCGGATTTAGGGAATCCGACCTTACTTATAAACTCAGATTTTAGAAATCCGACCTTATTGTGTTATAATGGGACGACGAAAAATACTATTCACATATCGGGATTTTGGTAAAGGAGGCGATTTCTTGAAGGAGGAGGTGATTTTAGTAGCGATTTGAAGATTTTGTTCATGATTCTTTGCAGCGGATGTCTTAAAACCATTTCACTAGAAGGTTAGTTATTGTTTTGATGTATTTCGAATTATTGTTGTTGTTTTCTTTGTAAAAGTGTAGAACTAGGATGATTTATAAGGTTTTAGGGTTGATGTTGGGTGTAGTTGATGATTGTTGTTGTATACGTGGTATTGAACATTCAATTTAGTAAAATGCTTGAATTTGGCCTAAACTTTTGAATTTATCAGGGGTTTAGTAAATTTAGTGTTGATTATGCCTTGTTTGTGGTAATTGTTATAATAAGTTGTTTGATAATGCCTTGTTTATGTATTTTTTTTAATAATTTGTTCACAATGTGTTGTAATTCATGTAATCAACAGGTATAAATGGCGTTTAACGGTCCATATTTCATTAATGTCTATTGGTCGAGCAAATTTGTTGTGAAGAATGGGATTGTGAATACTTTTAACAACATGTCGGACGATTCCTTTGTGATTGATCATAAGTATTGTACAATGATTTGGTTGGATTGATTTATGAAAGAGCGGGGTGGAATAGAGAGAATGTGAATTTGAGTCTATCGATTTTGTATGATACGATGGGCAATGGTTTTAGGCGTATCACCAAAATCAAGGACGACGCATCGTTGCAAGTGTTGTATTTCCTCCCAAATTCGACATATATTGATTTGTATGTGGATTTGGAGGTGGCGGGTACTTCTAGGTCCCATTTGGAAGTAGGGACAAGTAGTGGTAGGCCGAATGTGGAGAATGTCGATTACATAGAAGATGATGATGTGGGTGGACCGATTATGGAGGATGGCGATCACATGGAAGATAATCACGCAGAAGATGATGAGGGCTACACATTGATAAGTGATCAAAGCGATGAAAACCAATCAATATCTGAAGGAAGTCGGGAGAGTGATGAAGAGGTCGAAGACAAATTCGCCACAAAGGACAGGCACATATATCGTTCATAGGGTATATGGGATCATACAAAAGTGAACAAGGATGAATTTCAACTTACCATGTGGGACGGGACAACCGCAACAATCGGGATAGGGACTTGTTTCAAGAATAAGGAAGAAGCAAAAAATGGTATTGCAGCGTGGAACATAGAGCAAAAGAGAGAGTTTTATGTGAAGGAAAGTGATGGTTTAACATGGTATATTTGGTGCAAATCCCTAAAAGAGTCAACCCCTAAGGGTTATGTTCTTTGCCGTTGGAAGGCACGTGCCTCCTTGAGAGACCACAGTTTGTGGGAGATTGTGAAATGGGTGCCCGAGCACAATTGTATGAATGTCGCCGAGGAAAATAATAATCAGAATGTGAGTGCAACGCTTATTGCTAATATCATAAGGCATAAGCTTGAGTTAGACCCAGATTATGAAGTGAAGCTCGTTCAGGAAGAAGTGGAAGACCGTATACATGTCGATGTTCCTTATCACAGGGCATGGTAGGGAAGGAGAAAAGCTATCGATCTTGTTTACGGCAACTGGGTTTCCAATTTTGACATACTTCCAAGGTATTTACTTAAGTCCTATCTAATTTGTTTGATTTGTTTGTAATTTACTTTTAAAATAAGCATTAATTTTTTTTTAATTTAGGTTTTTCACGTGGCGGATACAAAGGAAAGTTACTTGCTGCAATGGTCAAAACTGTGAATAACCGCATCCTGCCAATTGCATATGCGATCGTGGATAAAGAGAGTGAGGAAAATTGGTCATTCTTCTTGAAGCATTTGAGGAATCATGTTATATACCGTCCTGTGTGTGTTATATCCGATCGGCACAGGGGTATCATCAGTGCAATATGCCTAATGCCCGAATGGAATGCATACCACCAGTTTTGCCTTCGTCACGTCCGTAGTAACTTAGTGGCGCGGTTTTGAAGTAAAAAGATCAAAAGGTTGTGTTGGGAGATGGGCACGAAACTTTCAAAGTCTAAATTCAAAGAACTAAGGAAAGAGCTACGTGATTTTAGCAATGATACTTATTTGTATCTCGAGGAGATTGATGCTTGTCAGTGGACTCTTGCCAAAGACAAACACTATCGTTGGGGTAACTAGACAACCAATATTTCTGAGAGTTACAACAACGTCCTCAAGGGCGTTCGTTTCTTGCCGATCCGAGCTTTGGTGGAAGCCACTTTTATTAAGACTGTGGATTTGTTCCAGGAAGAATACGTGAAGTCGGATTTCCTAAATCCGAGTTTTTAAGAAAATCGGATTCCAAAAATTCGATATAGGACCTAAATTGGATTCCTTAAATCCAATTTTTGTATTGTTCACTCCAAGGTCAGATTTTGGTCCAAGGTCGGATTTTGGTGAAAATTTAAAACCAGTTTCCAAAACTCTCTGTCTAAGGTCAGATTTCTAAAATCGGGTCCTTCGTCAATTTCAATGTAAGCAAACTGTGCCAAAGTACCCGTTAATCAATGACATTGATCGCTGGAATGCGATACACCACGGATGCCTTGGGACTGAAAAGGCATATGATGATTGGGCGCAAAAACACACCGAGGTACGACCTCATTGGAATGTGAGAGATCAGCACGTGGTCCCTCATGAATTGGTTGGTCCGGAACTAGGTCCTCAGTGCACATCAGACTACATGTCGTGGTTTCAAAAGAAGACTATCAGATTTATGACTGATCTCACTCAATATGGCCCTCTGGCACAGGGTTATCACTCGTCTTCATCTCTGGAGAGATTTTATGTAAGATATATGTCGATATTTTATTTTAAAATTTTTTTATTTTTTAACTCTTGCTATATCTTATACTTTATTAACATGGTTCAATTTTCTGCAGTCTTCAAATCTCAGCGACATATATCATCTCGCTGATACAGCCTTACGGGAAAATTCAGGCCTCGGTGGTAATCTAGAGGATAAACTCTTCCAAATATTCGACAAGAGTTTCAATGCCCTGACTTTGGGTGCACGTGATATGAGCACTCAGCCCAGGTTCTTCAAAAAAGACCCCCGGAGACAAGTCAACATGTGGTGCTCACGCAGAAAACAACATCGAAGCCTACTGGAGGAGGAAGGAGGAAGCGACATGGAATTTCAGATTGAACAATCATAGTTCATTCCAATCCAACTCCGATACAAGAAGATGATGAAGGCAATGAAAGCGATGAGTATTACTACATTGGGGGCGAAGAAGAAGAAGAAGAAGAAGAAGAAGAATCCTCTCCACCTCGTGTTTCTTCCCAAAAGAAAACGGTCGAGGTTCGCAAGAGTGATGGGATTAGTAAAGCGGCCGAGAAGTATACTCCCGGCGACGGGGCTATAAGGAAGAAAATGTCATCCAAGTAATTCAATTGTAGGACTCTTTGATTTTAAACTCTTTAATTTTATTAGTTGTAATTTGGATGATTTTTGAATTTGGATGCTTTTGAGTTTGTTAATGTTTGTTCCGATGTTTTAGAATGTGTTTATAGGTAATTTTATGCGTGAAATTTGGTTTTGGTGCTGTTGTGATAGGTTCGGATTGCTTTCTAAACCAATCCTTTATTTTTTTTCTAAGTTTCTGTCCAAGGTCGGATTCCAGAAATCCGACCTTCCACTTATTTTACTAAGAAATCAGATTTTGAGAATCCGAACTTACCTTACCCGGATTCTCAAAATCCGATTTAAGCTTACCCGGATTTCAGAAATCCGACCTTATATTAAAATCGGATTCCTAAAATTCGACCTTAGTCAAAATTTTAATTCAAAAAAAAACTAAGTGTTTTTCTTCAAAATATTATATTTTAATATGATAAGGTCGGATTTTGAAAATCCGACCTTCTCTTAATTTTGATTAAGTTTATTAATTTTTTGTATTAAGGGAAGGTCGGATTTTGATAATCCGATTTTCAGATTTAGGAATCCAATGTCGGTATTTTACTCTTCTCCAAATTTTGACCTATATTTCTCTCTACTCCTTTTTTTTAAACCATTTTTTAACTCAAAAACTCTTCTTGCATAGCTTCCCAGTTATTGCGTATTATCATTTATATGATACTCACCCTTTCAAAAAAAAAAATTTACGATATTCTCTCCGTCCCCAAAATTATTATCTAGTTTATATCTTCAGTTTCAGAATAATTTGAATTAAAATTTAAAATTCAAATTGGATAATAATTTTGGAATAAATGGAGTATTTGAATCACTAAACCTCATGCTTGTAAAACCCATACTTTTATCCTGTCCAATTTTGTTATTCATGCTTTCTTTAATCATTATTTATTCCCAATGTTGGCATTTTTGCCGGTAAGGTGTAAGCCACAGTTACATTTTGGAGGATTTGATCATCTTTGCAAATATGATATTTAAACATATTTTTTCTAATTTTGGAGAAATGATATTCTTAGTGTTTGAACTTTGAAGCTATATATTTGAAAATCGTCAAATAGAAACGGTATTGCCTGGTGAATCTTCAACCACATTTAACTGATCGAAAGTATAATTGATATTTTTTGTCTTTTAACTATAGAGACGATTTTATTACCGTAAATTGACTTTTTAGTGGTTAAAAACTTCATTGGTTATAGAGTAATTAACTTTCGTGATTTTATTTTTCGATTACACAATGATGAACAAAATATGATTTCCAAAGTAAAGTGGCAAAACTCTGCATTTTACTTATTTCTTTTTATTAAAACAGTACATGATCCAGATTATTCCACCTCGACAAGAATGGGCATTTGTGGATAGAACACACAGCTTATGATTGGTCCATATAAAGATTGTTTACTTCTTGCTGGGGTCCATTCAAAATTCTGAAAAAAAACCTCAAACCGGACCTTTTGAGTGGATTTCAAGTTCAAGGAAGGAGAAAAAAAAGAAAAGGAAAAGAGAACTGAAAAAGGGTAACTAATCAAGAGAAATTCTTGGTGATTCCTGAAAGATTGTAATGTATCCGGCTGCGGCGGAGCTGAGATGCGTTTTGCAAGGTGGTCTTGTTGATTGTCGTCGGAGGAGTCGTTTTGGCGGCGGCGCTTCGCCTGAAAAATATGGTCCAAAATTTGTAGCCATGGCACAGAAGAAAAAGGTAATTCATTCTATCTTTCTTTTTTTAAAAAAAAAAAAAAATTAAGTCACATAATCATTGTCCGATTTTGCCCAAGCATTTATATCTTATTAAGTATTTGACTGTTGCAATCACGCTCTTGATTCACTATGATTGTCTTGTTCGTTTGTTGTAATTGAGCGGTGTGAGTATGTTTTTTTTTTTTTTTTTTTTTTAATTATTTCAATCCCCTCTACTATGCATTATGGAAAAATAGTTACTGCTCATTCTCAGAGTGGAAGTTGCATACTACTTTTGCAAATGAGATGTTCTATTTTATTTGGGCATATTAGTGTTTGTGCATTTTAAAGTTCGATAAAATTCTGTGTCGCAATATATATAATTATCATGATCATTTTAGGACGTATCGAACATACGGAAAATGGAATAAGGGATCTTATATGTGGATTTAATGCCCGTCAAAAACTATACCGCGCCAATTTTATGGATATGAGTGATATAGTTATCTTGTAAACCTAGGGTAGCCCTTCAATATACCAAATCAGCCTTGATGGTATTATTTGTTTTTCTACTTATTTTTGAAGTGCTGAGAATTTCCTTGCAGTTTTAGACTACCATAGATTTTGTAATATCAAACAACTTTTTGGAGAGTTTTATTATACTCCCCCGTCCCATAAAAATAATCCACATTGGATTTGAGTTCTGTATTATTTTTAGTACAAATTTAAAAACTCAATGTGGACTTTTTTTTGAGACGGGGTAGTATATGTATAAGATTTTACATTGAAGTTTGAACAATCCTACTGAAAAGACGAAAACTTTTTTTTTTTTCTACTTTGTTACCCAACTTTGTGTAAGGAACGATTATGGTTCACTAAAGTCTCCAACATTGCTTACATAAAAAGATGACAATAATTTGCTGGAAAAAGATGAATTAAAAACCTTAACATGGATAATGGATGACATTTCAGGTGAACAAATACGACAGCAACTGGAAAAAGGAATGGTTTGGAGCAGGATTGTTCTATGAAGGTAGCGAAGAAGTTGAATTCGATGTGATCAAAAAATTGGAAAAAAGAAAAGTTCTAAGCAACGTGGAAAAGGCCGGATTATTGTCCAAGGCGGAAGAACTGGGCTTCACACTCTCTTCAATTGAGAAACTGGGCCTCTTATCTAAGGCCGAGGAATTAGGCCTACTCAGTTTACTGGAAAAGGTTGCCGGCTCTTCACCCTCCACCTTGGCCTCGGCGGCGCTGCCAATACTCGTGGCGGCTATTGTGGCGATCGTGGTGATTCCCGATGACTCGGTAGGTCTCGTGGCGGTGCAAGCCGTTGTGGGTGGTGCCCTTGCGGTTGGTGCAGCTGGGCTTTTTGTAGGTTCGGTTGTTTTGGACGGGCTACAAGAGGCCGATTGAAAGTGTGTTTTGTACAAAGAAATTAGTGTCAAGTGACAACAAATGAAATGAGTAATGACAAGAAAAATTTATTGACAAATAATCTTTTTAGTACAATGAATTTACGTTTTGCTTTTCTTATTAATGAAATTGGGGGTTATTGCCAATAGACCGTCTTGTTTGGCATAAAAAAAAAAAAATTAATTGGAATTTCATCTGAGACTTTTTTTTCCCCTTTGGTGAACATGCCTTGATGTGCAATTTGGCGACTTTCAACACCAATTAATGCAGTTTCAATCTTGGTTTTGTTAACGAGACAAGTATAATACCAGCAAAAATTTTAATTGTATAAGGGATAACAGCAGAGGAGATAATTCTAACATATAAGATTAATTAAGGTGAACGAGATTGGAGTTATTTACTCATTTTTGTAGTGTAGATCTTTATTTTCTGGTATTGGAGGTTATCCTTTTTTTAGATATAAAGGACGCTCTCACTTTAAGAAATCCAATAAACTGTTTTCTGCAAGCCCAACGTATTTTTTGGGTTGTGTTTGTCCTATTTTTTCCAGCTCAAACACCATCTCACATCTCAGCCTAATTTTTTGTTGGTTTTTTGGAGTTCGGATTTCGACCGACTGACTTTGATACCATACAGAAGCTCATGGGATCTCACCTCAAAACCAATTAGCAATGAGTGGAGTAGCCCATGGAACTTATATGATACTTAGAATCTCCCAACACCAATGTGAGATTGTGACTCTTTAATAAGCGAAAAATGAGATATTAAAGAAAATAAAACAAACAAAGAAACAGAACTAAAATAATATTTAAAGACTATCTTGTAATTGATTGGCTGATTACAAAGTAGAGGCTAGATGCCATATTTATAGACATGTGAACTATTAAATAATTAACACTTTTAATAATCAATAAATCAAATTTATCAACTATTAAATGGAAATTATCACTAAAATAAAATTGTCATTACTTTATGATCTCAAATTATCTTTAACACAGTAGATTAGTATTTAGTCGTTGAAAGGAATGATTGGTAATGCGCCAAACTTCGAAGCGGATATTGGATCTCATCTCACCAAAGTTGAATCGGAGAGTCAAGATCGGTGCTACAAATTGTTGAAAACTAGGAGGCCTTAGAAGTCTAAAGAGTTCCATTGCATAAGATTCACGAATTAATCCCAAGATTTTCTGTAATCCCCTTTCATTACAGATAGAGAAGAAGCAAACGCCATTACAGATGAATTGGCAAAACCCAAGAGTAGAGATGACAAGATTTTACTTGCTCATCTTTGTCACGCTAGTTGAACGGCCCTCGTTCTTTGTCATTTTCTTTTGTTTGTAATGCAACTCTAGCACACGGTCTATGAGGTACATTTAATCTCGTTTTAGTGACAGGATTGGAGAAATACACGTTAAGTATTGTCATAATTATTTTAAAATAAAAAATTAATAATACATCTTTGCCTGATAACTAGATTTATCCCCGAGTTTTTGCTCGGATTAAAAATAAATTATAAAAATTATTCAATATGTATAAAAAAAATCCAAAATAGAAGGCGTATAAAAAATAAATATAATGTAAAAGTAAAAGTTGATGATCATTTAAATGATCAACTTAGTTGAGACTCTATTTTTTGGCAGGAAAAAAACAATTTTTTGCTGGATTTTGGGAGGAATTGTTTGTGGCGCTATTAAATACACGTATCTTTAGGCGCTTTTGAATTTTATGTACAAAAAAAAAATTTCAAAAGATCATCTTAAATTACACTTTAGATGTAATTCAAAATAATTTCATTTTCCATAAAATAAAAATTAATAAAATATATTTAGATACTCTAGTAGAACTAATCATAACTAATAAAATATATTTATATATTCCAACTGATGAGAATCATGTAGCTACACGTCGAAATCAACATCAAATGAAGGAGCAAAAGGTGTTATTGTCAGTTGGTGGTCTAAGATTGTTTTCGTTTAAGAATAGAAGAAAGTTTGCTGTGAGAACTTGGCCTTCTTTGGAAGAATTATCACCAACACCTTCTAGTGGGAATATTGAGGTTGAAGAAGAATCACCTAGTGAAGATCAAGGGTTGGAAGAATCTAATGAAGACTTTGCTAATCATTGGAGTGATTCAAGTGATGTCCAAAAGATTGATGCAAGTGAGTTTGTTCCAAAGAGCAAGTGTCTTGAAGAGATTAAAGACGTACATTCAAGTATGTAGAAGACATCATTGGAGTTTGGCATTTTGAATGGAGCCGCGCTCGCCAATCAAAAAGAGGGAAACACACGGGAATTATTTAATTTAAATTATTTAAATTATTATTGAGTTCGTAAATAGATAATAAGTATATTTACCTAGAGTTAAAATAAAAAGTTTACCATAAAGATAAATTTATAAGGGCGGCCGAGAGGGAGTCCTAGGGTTTCATTAAATTAGGGTTTAAAGGTTAATGTATAGCCGGACCTAGAGAGTATTTCATTACGGGTAGATTAGTCTTTTTCCATTAAAAGAAGTAAAGTTAATTACTTTGTTTGATGGTTAAGTTTAGTTAGAGTTTGAGTCATAATTGACTACGTCTTTCTTTTCTGTGAATTGGATCGAGTAGTATAAGGAAAATAGAGTTTCTTTGGCCTAAAGTAAAGGCTAGTAGGGATTTTGTTTTGGAGAACAAGGGAGCTTGCCTATATAAGGTCTGAATCCTCTCACAATAAGTGTGTCGAAAATATGAGTTATTAAATCAAATAAATTGATTTTGAATCCTTTATGGTTTTTCTTAAACAATGAGCGTTTCTTGTTGTTTTGAAGGGGAAGAATGGTTAGTTCTTTATTTTATTCTTAGAGCCTAACGTGTGACTTGGTTTCTTTGAGTCAAACCGTTTTATCATGTTGAGCATATTGTATGATTTAATTGTTTGAAAACTAATATTCTTGTCATCTTTTGATATGAAGGTCGATAGGTTAAGCATGTTAAATTGCTTGGTTTGTTCGAATTCTTTGTGTCCTAGGGTTGTAGGATACCTTGTCGGTTTATGTATTTTATAGATGAGTTTACATGGAAATAGCATGATGAATAATGTGTTTTGTTTCGGTTATTACCTTGGTTATGAATATATACGGTCCAATATAGAGATATATTCGATGGTTTGTTTGTAGTTGAGTGAGTGATTTGCTCTTTACATGTGTCGTCAATTATATGGATGATTGAAGGGTTTCATCTTTTAAAGATTAAGTTGTTCAATCCGAATGGTTATTTGGATTTGTGTTATGATCTTTTGCTTGAGTTCATAAGGTATAGGAATTCTTTTTAACGGTCTAGTTTATTTGTGAAAATTCTGCATTCTTTTAGAGTTTCACTTTTAAACATATTTTTAAGATTTTTCTTGTTGATGGTTCCATTAATGAAATTTGGTTCATCTACGAGATTGCCATCATATTTTGGTATCAGAGCAAAGGTTAAGAAGATATCGGATTCTCTCTTGAGAATATGGTTCGAAGCCCTAGCAATGTGCTAGATATTGATGTCTACATCTTTTATTTGGACTAAGGTTCTTTTGTTTTCAAAAGAGTTTTGAGAAAAATAAATCAAACTAAGAGAAAATACAATTTCTTAAGTTCTTCTTTATTGAATGTTCAGAGCGAAAACTAGGTATTGCTTTAAGATGAATTTTTGAGTGTTTTGGTTTTGAGAAATTAGTGAGTCTTGTTGAAGTTGTATAAACAATTGATTCAAGGAGGGCTTCACTCAAGATTTCCTTTGAAGTTGAGATTAGAAATTGGTTTCTTCATGATCAAGTGATTTGGAACTTATGTATATCATGATTATTTGATTTAGGGTTTGATGCCAAAAGCCACAGCGCATAGCCTTACCTTTTTGAGAGAGATTATGTGTACATGAGCAAGTGTGTGCGTGTGTATAGGTCTAGGTTCTTTGAATTTATGATCTATGAATTTTAAAGGTGGAATATTCATGAAAGTATGCTACTTAGTGTATGGAAGTGTTGATATTTCCTTCTTGACTTTAGTTCTTTATGAATTAGAGAAGAGTAAAATCTAGGGTTTGTGGTGTTTCAATCAATGAGAAGTCCATAATCGCTATTAGGTTTTATTAGATTGAGTCTTGTGTCGAATTAGTGTAGTTTCGACCTAATGTGCTATGTGAAGTGTCTTCGTTGACTTTCTTGTCGAGTTGTGTGTCGACTCGTGTGTGTTTCCGTCGAATTCCTTGTCGGGTTGTTCGTCGACTTTGTGTGGTTTGATTTTGAAGCTTTTAAAGTTTTGAATTCAATATGTATGCAAGGTAACTTAAAGAGATCAATGTGTTCTTTGAACTTTTGGGTTAGTGATTAATTGTTTGAAGTCTTTTTCAAGAATAACGTGACCTTTCTTGTGGAGATTAGATTTTTCATTGTTTTGGAATTTGATTTTTCAAGAGTTTATCTTTTATGTGACTACGTGTTTTACGTCTTGTTGAGTCATATGAATGAGATATGAGTTTTAGAGTTTATACTCTAGGGTTAAACACTAGGGTTTACACGTATAAGAGTTTCCATGACGTACTTTGGAGATTGCTTGTGTTAAAAGTATCTAATTTGTATTGTTTTAAGTGTTTTAAACAAAATATTTTCAAAAATTAGGTCGTTGGGGTTTTAATCCAATGTGTTTATGTGGTTTTCGTTTGTTGAGTTTCTTGAACTTGGTAGATGAAATAAATTTACTTGAATGCATGATTAGTATTTTTGAATTTCAATTACGTGATTGAAAGAGGATTTTTAGTATTTAACTAAAAGTTTTTTGCCTTGATTTTAATTGAATAATTTCGAGAATTATTTATTGTGTAGTAGCCGAGATTTTAATTCCTATTTTAAGTGGGGAAAGAAATTTTTGCTTGGGTGAATGTGTGTGTAGCCGTGTTTTTCTTTTTGGAAATACCAAAAGAAAATTTGTTTTATTTGTTAATTACCTATATAATAGGAGGGGAATTAAAGGAGTTTCCTAAAAG